GATCCAAGCTGCCATACCTTAGTAATCATCATTTGACTCCTTCAACTCTTGCTGAATCGTCTGTACTGTCCTCAGATTGTCACCCAAACACACTGAAATGTTTGTATTGGAGCTTCTGGCATGAATGCCAAGCAATACAGTATGCTGTTTCTAATGTTCTAGCAGAGTGAATTACATCAAAGTGCTCTTTTTCTCACAGATTGTGCCCAACTGACCCTACTATACTGTACAGTTGACAAAATCAAACATTGCACATGAGTGAAATTAAAAATGGCAACAATTTACTGATCGTACCCTGTATATATAATACAGATCTGAAAGGATGGATTTCTATATTTAGTGTCCAAACGATAACATGTTTGTATTTTCCTTGCTTGGATGATTGATTGAACTCTAATTATTTTTTCCTTTCGACCCTCTGTTGTTTACTCCCCATCTCCTTTCTGTCATTTTAAGTAACTTTTTTTTTCTGTTTCCCCTCCCCCTTCTTTGTGTAAATTCAATATCAGTTAGTCACAGGTTTGAATTTAAATAAACTGCATCAGAGAAGAAAAAAGTTGGAATGGCGATTGACAAATAATGAATAATTTTTTTTGAATTTTAATCTCACTCCCTCCCTTTCGATCTCCCAATTGATGATTTTGAATTGCTGAAATATTTCTTTATTTATAATCTGTATAACTTGTATGTGGACTTGTATATCAAATTTATATCTCTGCATATCTTGTGTCTGAGTATAACAAAGATGGAGAAAGATTATGCCTTGCATGCACCATATAAAAAAAATCTGCTCTCTCTCTACTTGTCTTTCCGCTCTCTCTCTACTTGTCTTTCCGCTCTCTCTCTCTGCTTGTCTTTCTCCGCTCTCTCTCTGCATGTCTTTCTCCGCTCTCTCTCTCTGCTTGTCTTTCTCCGCTCTCTCTCTCTGCTTGTCTTTCTCCGCTCTCTCTCTCTGCTTGTCTTTCTCCGCTCTCTCTCTCTGCTTGTCTTTCTCCGCTCTCTCTCTCTGCTTGTCTTTCTCCGCTCTCTCTGCTTGTCTTTCTCCGCTCTCTCTCTCTGCTTGTCTTTCTCCGCTCTCTCTCTCTGCTTGTCTTTCTCCGCTCTCTCTGCTTGTCTTTCTCCGCTCTCTCTCTCTGCTTGTCTTTCTCCGCTCTCTCTCTGCTTGTCTTTCTCCGCTCTCTCTCTCTACTTGTCTTTCTCCGCTCTCTCTCTCTCTGTCTTGTCTTCTCTCTACTTGTCTCTCTCTCTCTCTCTCTCTTTCTCTCCGCTCTCTCTCTCTGTCTTGTCTTTCTCCGCTCTCTCTCTCTCTCTCTTGTCTTTCTCCGCTCTCTCTCTCTCTACTTGTCTTTCTCGCTCTCTCTCTCTCTGCTTGTCTTTCTCCTCTCTCTCTCTCTTTGTCTTTCTCTGCTCTCTCTCTCTGTGCCTGTCTTTCTCCGCTCTCTCTCTCTGTGCCTGTCTTTCTCCGCTCTCTCTCTCTGTGCCTGTCTTTCTCCTCTCTCTCTCTCTGTGCCTGTCTTTCTCCTCTCCCTCTCTCTGTGCCTGTCTTTCTCCTCTCTCTCTCTCTCTGTGCCTGTCTTTCTCCTCTCTCTCTCTCTGTGCCTGTCTTTCTCCTCTCTCTCTCTCTCTGTGCCTGTCTTTCTCCTCTCTCTCTCTCTGTGCCTTTCTCCTCTCTCTTCTCTCTTTCTCCTCTCTCTCTGTGCCTGTCTTTCTCCTCTCTCTCTCTCTCTGTGCCTTTTACTCGTCTCTCTCTCTGTGCCTTTTACTCGTCTCTCTCTCTGTGCCTGTCTTTCTCCTCTCTCTCTCTCTGTGCCTGTCTTTCTCCTCTCTCTCTCTCTGTTCCCTCTCTGTGCCTTTCTCCCTCTCTCTCTCTCTGTGCCTGTCTTTCTCCTCTCTCTCTCTCTGTGCCTGTCTTTCTCCTCTCTCTCTCTCTGTGCCTGTCTTTCTCTCTCTCTCTCTCTCTGTCCTTCTCCTCTCTCTCTCTCTCTCTCTCTCTCTCTGTGCCTGTCTTTCTCCTCTCTCTCTCTCTCTCTCTCTGTGCCTGTCTTTCTCCGCTCTCTCTCTCTCTCTGTGCCTGTCTTTCTCCGCTCTCCCTCTCTCTGTGCCTGTCTTTCTCCGCTCTCTCTCTCTCTGCCTGTCTTTCTCCGCTCGCTCTCTCTCTCTCTCTCTGTGCCTGTCTTTCTCTGCTTGCTCTCTCTCTGTGCCTGTTCCCCCCTCTGTCAGTGCCTGTTTTTCCCTCTTTCTCTATATCCTCCTATGTTTCTCCATGTCTTCCCTCTCTCTCTCTGCTTCTTTTCAGAAAGGCCTCATTTTCTTTTCATACTTTCCTTTGTATATCTTAAGATTTTTCAACCTCCTTCTTTTTTTCTTTAACCTATTTCTTTTCTTTTCTCTCTCTTTTTCTCTTTCACTCTCTTGTTTTTACCCTTTTTGCATGGCACTCTGTTTTTCTTTGAACTCATTTCTCTTCTTTCTCCATATCTTTATCTCTCCTTTTGGATAGTTTTGTCTTTCTGTTTCTTGAATATGTCTGCTTTCTGCTTCTTACTTTTCAGAGAGTTTTCTTATTTTTCTTTGAATCCATTTCCTCTCTCTAATTTTGGCTAATCTATATTCCCTTCACAGGTCTGTCAGATAAAATTCATCACTTTTTATACAATAAATGCAAATGTGCTCATATATATATATATATATATATATATATATATATATATATATATATATATATATATTATTTCCATATCTGTGGGATTACATCTATGTCACTTGATTAGTACATAAGGATCTTGTGTGTGTGTGTGTGTGCATATACACATGCTCAAACATACAATTAAAACTAAATATATAACAAGATAGATGTTCCATGAATTATAAAAGTCTACTTTCTCCCAGAAAAAAAAAAATGCATCCTATTTAATTATTTTTTTTTTTTTTTGCTTCAAATAAAAGGCCATTAATTTAAAACTTTCCCACCACTGCAAAAATAGCCAGGATCTTACATTAAGTTTATTTTTCAAAAGTCTGTGAAGTAATTTGTTTTTTTTCACAGCATATTTGCTCTCTACATAATTTATCTTAGTTTAATAATTTCCACTGTTGAAAATTGGCCAGCTAAATTTACTTTTTTGTATTTTAAAAGAAAATCTATCCATTTATTCTTTCTGCCACTTGCTTTCTGTCATTTTTTTTTTTTTTTTTTTTGTATATGTCAAGTGCGGTCATCTAGGACCACTTGTAGTCTAATTAAAAGGAATAACAAAGAAAACGGCCATACTAAATTGTTGTTAATGTTTTTTGAGTAGAGTAAAAATAGTTTGAAGTGCCAACCAATCCAAAGGGTGCTGAAAGCCTCACAGATCAACCCACTCGTACAGAAGATTTTTTTAGAACTGATTTGGTCAAGCTAAGAACTTTTCAGTACTCTCACATCTGAAAGTCTCTGTCTCAAGCAGGCCTTTCCATTTTGTAAGCTGTAGGTTTTAAAATAAAATTGTTCAATTTGTGGAACAGGCTCCTGTGTAGATGCTTCTAGATGGCTACAATTTTAACCTCTTCATGTCGAGGATCAGCTGTTATATATCCTCATAATCTGCACTTCCTCTTCTTATATCTATACAATTTCAGTCAATAACTCTTTGTATAGGGTGAACATACAGTTAAATAAAAAATGGATTTTACCAAAAACTAAAAAATCTGTGGCTCAGCATGAGTGAATAATAATAATAGTTTCTGAGTATGCCTGTCTGCTATAGGAGCTATCTGATCCCTCTTGTAGACACCTCTTCAGGTACATTTATATTTGTTCAACATCTGGAGAGTCTACCTGTGGTTTATACTACAACTATATTGACTGGATTCGGTTAAAGCTTTGGGGAGAGAGTTCATCATCGTGTCTAATCAAGAGTTTGAAGAAGGCCAGTGCACTCAAACACAGTCATGATGACATGTGACTGTATAACCAGTGACAAGTCCTGAAGAGTTTCATGCACCCACAAGACTTGCATCAACCTGTGCTATGGTTTTTAAATTAAATATATACGGCAGGACAAAATCTCTAACCCTGATCTTTTCATCAAATGTGGCGTTGGTGGTATTGAATCCTTTCTGATGCAATCACAGTGCAGATGGGCTGGTCATGTCATCAGATTATCAGATGCTGAAAATCTTTTGTATAGACAACTTTTCCATGGTAAGCATAATGTAGGCCGTCCTTGGTTACGCTTCAAGGACAAACTTAAACACAATTTAGTTGCTGCAAGCATCCCTTTAGAGGAGTTCAAACTTGGTTTTGAAAACCAAGCAAACTCGAGAAGCACCTGCTACCGAGGTATAACTAACTTTGAAAAGAATCAGCTCAACCATCTAAGGGAATTAAGAATTAACACTAAATCTCAGGCTAATACATCAGCTTGTATGACAGTCAACCCTTTAGTATGCCCTTCGTGTGGATTTGTTTGCGAATCCCATGCAGGATTATTGTCTCATACAGAACAAAAACATAAAAACTGAACTGAAAGACACTCATACATCAAAAATGATGGGAGAGGTCATCATACATATATATATATATATATATGCATGTTTCATTAAAAACGACAGACAAGGTACTAGGGTTGAGCTTTTTATTTAATTTTTCTTGTGTTCTGACAAGAGCTTTCTTTTCTGGACAAAGGGTGTGTAAGAACTGTCTGAATGTTTTGTATTTCCAAGCGCTTTCGGCTATACCTTTAGCCATTATCAAGGATGATTCGATTATCAGCTTAGTAGAGTGTGTGCATTCTGTGTATGTTCAGTGTGTGGTAGTGATGTTTTTAATTTCCGAATGATTTAGCACATTATGGCTTTGTTCATAGTTAATATTGTTAAGAGTTGGCTTTTTCTTTTTTATTATTAGAGCTTCCATTATTTTTAGTCTTTTTTTGCAAGTTACACCTATCTGATCACAGCTCCATCAGAACACATTTAAACACGCACTCAGATTTACCCAACACTATTAGGAACATACTAGTAGAAAACACAAATATATTAACTGCATCTACTTGTCTGTCGTTTTTAATGAAACATGCATAAAGGAAGGATTGCTGCCTAAATATACAACTATATATATATATATATATATATGAAATGTGTTTTGCCTCTCATTTCCATCTGCTAGGATGTCGAGCTAATCTGTGTGGCTGATGTATTTCAACATCTACAGAGCTAGCCTCGACTTTATGCTGCACTGATGATGAATGGCCCTTAGTTACAGATTCTGGGGGAGAAGACATAATCTAGTCTGGTCAGAAAGTTGAGAAAGCCTGTTTGATGTTTGTGACTTCATGTTAACACAACCATTGACATCTTCCAAATTTGCCGACCCAATTCTACTCTCAAGTTTTGGGTCAACCTATAGAGTAGTTTTCAGGTACTTTCCAATGCTACTCCATTTTGAAGTCATCTCCACAGGCTAACAGCAACTGTAGTGGGATTAGAACCTGAGTCTCATTGTTAGGACATCATCGTACCACTCATGGTCCAAATGCTAGGTGTAGCAGAAAATTATTACAGATAACCATCCAATAAATACTGGTTCTACTATCCTGTATAAAGGTACATCTATGAAGTGGTGGGAGTGTTTCTCTGTGTTGGAACCACCAAAGTTCATCATCTGAAGAAAATAAGGAACATTGTTATACCAACAACATTTGTTGAGAAACTTCTCAAATCAGTAAGTCCTGGGTATGACAATAAACTACGTCCAACAACGAGGCTTCTGATTGTAATATTGCTCATTTTGCAGAGCCTGAAACCACCTCTGAATTGTTTTGATTCCCAGGTCCACCCTGGCTGTATTGGTAGTACCGGTTAGGGTCCCAAATAGTGAACCCCATCCCTACAAAAAAACAAAAACACTATGAAAGTATGAAAAATACATTTTAATAGTAAAAATACCAGCAATACAGTTTTATGTAAATTTAGTTGAAGCCATAAAATTGTTCAAATTATTTAGATTTCGGCATTAAATAACCCATAGAGGTTGATATGCAGTTAAACAAAACCAACCAACTAAATGCAAAATCTGTGTTAAAATTCCATTCTTCCAAAGGATACTGGAATTGGTTTGAATTCAAGAAAACCAAAGTTCTATATTTTCTAGCTCAAAGACTTATACTGGATTGCCATCAGAAGATTTTTTTTAGAAAAGATCTCAAATTAAAAGTGCCTCAATGATGATCATCAGATTTGTAAGTTCAAAACAGTTTTACAATGAAAAATGGTGTTAAAATACCTTGTACAGCTCAGTGTGGAAAAATTTCTGTCCCTTTTACTGTAAGCATCGACAGGTAGTCATTATCCGTTCAACATATAAAAAATAGATTGAAGTAGGTATGTAGTATCTCATCATATGAATACACTACCCATCAAAAATGGTGGATTATTTTCATATGGATCAGCATATATCCATATAAAATGAGAGGAGTTACTATGTATTTATAAACACACAGGAACACACACACACACACACAAATATAAAAACATTGAAGTCAACACTCAGAGGCGACAGGCTGTTTCATGCTAGATAAAAAGAAAATGAGTCTTTACCAATGCCTTTCTGGACCAGATGATTACTATGTGCCTGAAATTCTCAGTAGCATCGATCAGAGAGAGAGATATATATATATATATATATATAATGTGTGTGTGTGTAGATACATATGTGTGTATATTTGTCTATATGTGTGTGTGTGTGCGCGCGCATGTGAGTATATACATATGTGTATGCATATATAATAATGTGGGTGTGTGTCGATACATATGTGTGTGTATATTTGTGTGTGTGCATGTGAGTGTATATACATATAATAATGTGTGTGTGTATATATATATATGTGTGTAGATAGATATATATATATGTGTCTGTGTGTGTGTGTGTATATTTGTCTATATATATATATATGTGTGTGTGTGTATATTTGTCTATATGTATATATATATGTGTGTGTATATTTCTCTCTCTCTCTCTCTCTCTATATATATATATATATATATGTATGTATGTTTGTATATATGTGTGCATAAGTGTGGATGTGTTTGTATATATATATATATATATATATATATATATATATATAAAAAAAATATGTGTGTGTGTATATATGTATGACTATACAACCAGAAGAGCATAAGACAAGTAAGCTTGGAAAATGAGATATGCTCATCACATTTTACGATGGACTCATTTTCTATTCTGCATACACGCAGGTCAGAACTCCTTTTCTTGGTTCTGGAGGCCATTTACCTTAAATTGCAGCTACCATCTCTGTGCAGACAAAAGGACATTTTTTTGTGATCCTTAAACTTGTTTGAAGGTATGCAAGCGATTATTGACTTGTTTTTATGCTCTGGTTGTTTCATTTATCTACTTAAGTTTATGTATATATTTTAAATGTAAATTTATTTACTTTGTTAAATTTATGCATTTACATAATTTTTTTTTTAGACGTGTTTCAGCCTTATCTC